GTCATATCAAAAATATTTCAAAATGTGGGAAAATATGCCGGGGGTAATAGATTGGATTTAGATAATTAATTTCAGCTGGATCATTGAATAGGTACTGGCTACATGACTTCAAGCTGCTGTTCAGTTAAATACAAAAGGGCTTCACATTCCCAGTTTGTCTTCTGTCCTTCTTTTCTACCCTATAGAAATAAGCATGTAATAATTAATTTAAAATACAGTAGTAGACTATTCATAGCAAAGCCTGTATTATTCATAGCTATTGAATTGCTTTCTAATAAACTATTATGAGAATCCCATAACTACGCTCTTTTCTTACTCACTGTTCTTTCAATTTGTAGTGCTTTAGATGTTCCTTGTTAGCAGAATATTGAAAAGACTTTTGTTGCCATTTACTTTAAAATTGTTCAACTGTTTTTACATAGTTACATTTGGACCTGTTTACTCCTCCAAGGCAATAAATCCTTCTCTTGGCTTGCACGCTGGCGTATCCTTTGGGAACCGATCGGTTCTGTGCTCAGTCCTGCATATGCTTTCTCACTCACTACTCCTTGCTTGTTAAAGCTAAGCTTCACAAAGAATCCCTTTCTGCTCTGATGTCACCTTAGGGTAGCAAAATGCTAATAAAACCATGCCACTGTATGAAGATCCACTAGAACAATCCACCAGTACCACTTTCATTAGTATTTTTCCCCAGCCGCCGAAACGTTGCCTCCGTTTGGAGATACAAGATATAGAACACTGTTTGTGTAATGCTCTTTCCCAGCCTTTTAACCGTTGTGGGTGCTGCATTTGCTGCTGCTACTTCTAAATTGCTGCTCTGCACGCTGAAAAGCACGAAGTGTAGACCAGCCGTTCCATTACCGATGTTGCGGTTGCCATTGTTGCTAAGTTGCCTCTGAGAAGACACCAGGGCGGGCTCACGGGCCCTCAGTGGAATTGCCCTCTAGCAGCTGTTCTCAGAGGGCTCTGTCACTCATTTGTACACCTCCGTGCAAAAAAAAAAAAAAGCAGCAAGTTTTCTGTGTTTGCATTTACATTTTTATTTTCAAAAACAACTTCGATTACAGCCCTCTACTTCCAGGGGATAAGACCCATTGATCCCCACGAGGCTCACTTCTGAATAGACACCCCTAGGACCGCACAAACGCTCGAAAACAGCCCTCCCATCTCCACGGAGATCGAATCATTCCTGCTTACAAATCTGCTCGAGGCTTTTTGTGGAGCAAGTTAATGTGTGTCAGAAGAATCTTGTGTCTCGTATGCTGAGCATTAAATGGAGTAAAGTTTAAGTCGAAAGGTTTCTGTGTCATTTTAATATTTAATGATTGAGATAGAAGGCTTAACCAAGCAGTTGGAGGGAGCGAGCGAGCAAGCGAGGGCCGCTTCAGCGGAGCGCTCTTGCAGTGGGCCCTGGCTGATGGCTGATGGCTCAAGAGCGGAGCTGGCGCGCTTTCCCTAGTCCTGGTGTGACATTTGCTCTATGGGATGTCACCCGGGATGGTCTCGTTCCCCATTACTTGAGACATTGGTTAAATATTAGGTGTCATAAATAACTTTTACTTCCCCTTTTGTTAATACACAGAATGAATTCCTGGACTGTTGTTACTGAATAGTGCCATGCACCAGCCTTGAGTTGCTGGACTGTTTCATCGTGAGGTAATCCTGTATGACTTGTGAACACATGGCTGCCTGTTGATTCCCCCCACCCCCCCGGGTCTGCCTGTAAGCCCATGATGTGGCTGTTCCCTAGGGAACATGGCACAGGAGGAGGTTAATACAGGGCTCTTGTGCGCTCCCAGGACCAGTGGTGGCAGCAACATACTATTCCCCCCGCCACCCAGGGCAGGGCTGAGATTTTTGCTTCACAGTGGAAAAAGTGCCCAGTAAATAAATGGCTGTCCATACCCTTGGGATTCAGTAACATTGTGGTGAGAAGTGTAGTCGACTTTTCTTTTTAATCTACTCAAGTCCTGCCTCCTTCAGAGGAAGCTGCGTCTGTGGGCTGCTTTCTTGTGGACCAACGACAAAAAGGAAGCGAAAAAGGAGCATCCTTTGAAGGTGATCTTTTGGTTTTGGAAAGGCACTGTGCTCTGTTCTGTTCTCAGTGTCCGTACTGAGCTTGGTGACTTACAGAGCAAACTTACATTTCTGCCATCTTTGCTTCAAAGGTGCTCAGAACATGTGGAGAGTCATATCTAGTCAGAGTTCTGTTCATTTTGGCTTCCTCTTTTTGCACTCCTTATTGCACTTTAAGGCATTATGATACTGCCAGTTTTAGGTTTGATTCCTCTCTAAATGGGTCTTCCCAGAATTTGACAAAAGCCTGATACTGGGTTAACATTTTCATCAATCTCTTCTCCATAAGCAGAGATCCCTTTTCTGATCAGTCACTCCTGGAGGGTATGTGTGAAATACGGACAAATAGTCTTCAGTCTGGATCACTTTACCCTTGCTTCACTTAACCAAATTTGCCATTTTAATGCCCATCCCCCCAAGCTGTGGAGATCCTTTTAGAGGTTTTTGCTATCACTTTTAATTTTAGCTGCTCTAAACTTGGGCTTATCATGAGCCATCCCAAACTCCAGGTCATTTACAGTTGAAAAGCACTTGCCCAGTGCAGGTACTTGAAGCATCTTGTGCTTACATCCCTTCATTACTAGGCTGTCTGTCTGTTCCTGCGCTGCCTTCTGTTCTTTAACCACTTATCAATTCATGGGAGAATTTCCCTTATCCCGTATTTACTAAGTTTATGCAAGAGTCTTTGTAAAGGGACTTTCTCAAGCAATGTGAAAGTCCCAAGTAAACAGTTTCTGCTGGATAACAACTATTCTCATGCTTGTTGAAAGTCAAAAAAAGTCTGAATTCAAAGTCTGGATCTTTGCCGAAATCATGCTGATTCTTCATCAGCAAAATTTTAGATGCTTAATCAGTTTATCTTTAATAATGAGCTCTGCTAATTAATCTGGAAGAGACTGCAAGCTGTGTTAGCACACTTCTGTCACAAATCATGTTATTGTTAAGAGAGGCCTCCTGGTCTCAGCTTTTGCAGACTTCTCTGAAGAGGCCTGGTAGCTTGTGTAGCCTTCAGTTCTGTCCCTCTTGAAGTGGCATGTACATGTTAATCAGTCCTTCCCGATAGTGACTGTATTCCATGACTCATTGGCAGTGCCCACGTTCTTCGCTGCCTGGCCGTGCTGCCATTAACCTGCCCTGACTATCAGGACTCCTCCAAACCCAACGCCTTCATCTTTGGCCAGCCCTAATTTCAGAAAATAGCACAGGATATGAGCTCTGAAAAAGACTTCAGACTGTAACAAACCATTCCTAAAGTTAGAAAAGAAAGGCCAAGCTATCTGAAGCTTGATAAGCGCCTTTTGAGTTGAAAGTGGGAGCAGATGTTTGCATTTTCTTGCACAAAGCAGTGGAAAAGGGTGACTGCCAGTGTGACTAATGAGTATAGAACTGCCCTCTTCTGTGATTTGCCATTTTGGCTTCTGAAACTGCTAAAAACGATGAGCTTTATATTTAGCATATGTGGAGCTCTCCAGCTGATGAGTGCACCTCTCCTTGGTGATAATAAGGACCATATTTTCTAAAGGAAAGGGCAAGAAATCCCAAGGGGAATGGAGCCATGATCCAGGAAAGTGTATTGGTAGTTCAGACATAGGTAGACTACAGTTTCTGGCAAGTTTTAGCCAGGTGGCAAAGGTGATATACATAAACATACGACTGTTCTCTCCCTCCTTGGTAAAATGTTCCCCCTTCAAAAGCCAACCAGGGCAGTGCTGAATGTTCCAGTTATTTCCACGTGGAATCACAGATGAGCAGTTTAGCTTGCACAGGTGCTCCAGCAGCCTGAAGAGTGCCTGGCTCTTAGTCTGGACTGGTCAAGGGAAGGAAAGGAAAGGAGAAAGGCCTTCATTCTCCAAGCTGTAGGCAGGAAAGAACTGCTGGGGGTGCGGGGGGTGAGGGGTGGGGGGCAAACCCAAGAGGATCAGTAATTGGGTGCTTAGGAAAGGCAGGGAGCCACACTGAAACAGATGTCACCTTTGAATAGGAACGTCCGCCTCAGAGGAGGCCTTCAGGTTCCCATTCAGCCACGATGTTCAATGGATGACCCTGCTCATCCTAACCTGCTCGTGGGAACGAGGCAGACACAGATGCAGGCGGTGCAGTGGAGGAGCAAGGCAGAAGATGGGGCTGGGCAGGAGCAGTGAGTGGGGAGCAGGCAGGGGCCTCGAAACGAGGTCTGGGACTGGGAGTGTCAAAGGAGAAAGAAGCAGGTGGTTGGAGGGAAGCAGGGGAAGAGACTCGAGGCTCGCTGCACGCATCTTTCTCACGCCATTTCACTGTATGGTACTGTTTTACTATTAGCTGCAAGAATAACGTGGAAATTTATGCTTCTTAAATGTTAGCCAACACACAACTCTGATGCCTGTATCTACGAATCTGCCTTTACATTGTTCCCTTTTCTTCTGCAGAGAAAGAGTTGATTAGTTTGATAGTAGTAGGAAAAACAGCATTTGCTCCTTTTCTTGCCCACTTCTGCTAATTCACAAGGATTTCAGTTTTCCTCCTCCCTTCACCCTGATCATGTCAATATAACATGAATTCTCTGCACGAATGTGATCCGTGTTCTTCCCAGGACTTGGTAGTGATGCTTTGTGAACATTTAGACTGTTTCGTGGAGAAAGACCGTTTGAAATCTCATGGGAGAGAGCTGTACCGTCGCAAAGGAAAAGCATGTTATTGTTAACTGATATTTACTCATAAATAGCTATTTTGTAAGACTTTGTTGATTATCTTTTGGTTATGCTTGGTTTGATAGCCAAAACAAAAAACAGCACACATTGCGTAATTCACTGTTTAAAAAAAATGTTACAGTTGCTGCTGTCCACAGCCTCACGTCTGTATGATGCACAACCTGTCAGATCAAGAAAAGAGAAATAATGTCTGCCTGTTCAAATCATGTAACATACCTTGTTTTATTTCTTTAACAGTGAGTGTTGAAAAAGTGGAACTAAAGGGACTATTGCACAAGAAGAATGATAGGAACGTTGACTATTCCTTCGAGGTAAGTTCCAAGGATGTACAGTGAACTGAGGTACATTTCAAGGATTGTAAAGTGAGCAACCTTTGAGGGTTCTCAATATTCAAGAAACTGTCTGAGACCCAGACAATGTGTTAAACTGCATTAATTCTGACACAGAAATTATAAGTCTGGGCATCCGGTGCTATGTAATGGCACATATTATTTCATAAAGATATGTGGACCAAACAATATAGTGATTGTGACAATTGCGCACAGATGTGAAACTGTTGAACATCCAGAATAACATTTTAAAACAAGGTGTGTACTTTTCCTGTAAGCATTTACTTATTTTTACATGCATGCATCCATGTATTTACAGGCCACCTATACCTGCCAAGGCCTTCCTAAGTCGCAGCAGTAAAAAGTCATCTGCCTCCATATTTAAAATGGAAAGCATTGTAGTTCCCTTTCCTTAGACAAGTCAATGAACATGAAATCCCTGGGAGAGTTTGTCTGGAGCTTGGATGTCTAGTGTTACCAGTATGCTGATGACACCAAGCACTACCTCGCCTTTAAATAAACAACTGTCTCTTTCCCATCTAAATCTAAGAAAGCCATTCTGGTTCTGTGTCTATTGCTGACAAAGGACTGGGCTGAGAACAAACAAATCGAAGTAAGCCAGAGGTACTCCTGGTCGGTGGAAAGGCAGATCGGGGAACAAGGGATTCAGCCTGTGTTGCAAGGGCTTATATCCCCCAGAAGGCACAGGCTTCCAGTTTGCAAATACCTGGGGATGCACAGGTCACAGTGGTGGCCAGTGGTGTGCTTGCGCAGCTTGGATCTGGTGCTTCAGCCATGCCCATTCCTAGAGATGTCTTCTCTGGCCAGGTCACACATGCTTTAGCTCCATCCCCTTTGTTCTGAAATGTTCTATATGGAAATGCCTTTGGAAACTGATTGGGAAGTTCAGCTGGTGCAGAATGTTGTGGCTAGAGCACACCTCCCTTGCCGTGTGAGTTTCAGTGGCTGCCGGTCTATTTCTGGGTAGAATTCACAGTTCTGGATGTGATCCTTGACACCTCTGCTGCTTGGGGCCAGGCTGCCTGAAAGACTGCCTGCTCCCATGTGAGCCTGCCCTCTCCTTAAGATCTTCCAGAGAGGCCCTTCTTTCAAAACTGCCACCATCAGAGGTGGGTTTTGTGGGGATGCAAGAAGGAGACTTTCTGGGGGCCACTCCTAGGCTATGGAACCCCATACCATGGAAACCTCCAGTGATATTTTTCAGCAGAAAGGATGGGTGTCAAATTAATATTCTTCTCCTGCCATTCTTTGAACTTTCCCTAGCATGCCACTGAGATTTTGTAACTAACTGTTGGCGCCCTCCTGGCAGACTTGAAAAAGTGGAGAATCATCTCCATGGACTCAGAAATGACACACAGGCGTGGTGCGAGCATGGCGGTTGGTTGCCAGCCAAATGCTGCTAGGGGCAGTAGAAGTGTGCAGTGTGCACGTGTGTGTGCAGGCATCCCCACGGAATTACTGTAGTGCATTTGACCCGTCCAGCTGTGGATCGTAAGGATGCAGATGTGTTCTGCCCAAGGGCCTTGCGTGTTCTCCTCCTTGCACTATCTGCGTGTGTATGTGATCAACCAGACCTGAGGTGGAGCTACAAAACTGCCATTTCTTAGTTTCAGTGGAAGAAGTGCTGGGAAGAGGAAATTCCTCAATTACGTAATGTATTTTGAAACTCCTCTCACCAGTACTTTTGGCAGCCTCCTCAGAACTAGAAAAATCTGTGTGTTTGGTTGTCATTGATACTAATGTCATGTGGAAAGTTCACTCCCCCCTCACTCTTTTTAAGATAAAGGTAGTCTTTTCCCTTAAAGCTCAACTACTTCTATATTGTGGTCAAAATAAAAGAGTTTATGCACTGGATAGAATCTTCTGTATTGTCTTAAAACAGCATATACTTCAGTTAAATCAGTCAGCTACCAGACTAGGGTAGCACTGATAAAGGTGTCGAATAAGATAATTGAAGATTCAAGCAAAGGGATGCTGACAGTGTTGGCTTGGTAAAGCCTCGGGTACAAATCCGTCTCGTTTTCCCATAGGCACCCAGACTGAGTTGTCTCTCAAATGTGCCCACGTGATTCTGTCGTGCTATTATCTTTAATAACTCTTTTGCTGCATTCCGAGTAGTGATGCCACATGACTGAAGGATGGTGGGGATGAGCCAGAAACCTCCCTCATTCATTTCTGCCAACTGTGAACACTGGAAAACCCTTGCTAGCAAAACCTGTTCGTTTATTCAGTGCGAGTAACTAAAATCATTCTTCATTCCCAAAGGTTTTATGGTCTGATTCTTCAGTGACACTGGTAGTAAAGTCTTCTGCTGAGGTGACTGAATTAATTTCAAAGGTAAAAACATATCTTGGCTTTTGTAAATGTGTCATTCCAGAAGCATCTTGAGTTGCACTAGTACAGTGTACAACTTAGGACTCTGATTTTAAATAAATGTGTAAGTTTGCTTTTCCCCCCTTTTTTTGTCCTCCATTTGGTTGCTGTCTTTCCATTTGAACTCTAGTATCTCCTTTCTCAGTTAGGTCAACTGTATCCGGAAGAAAACTTGGAGAAATTCATTCCTTGCCTAGCTGGTCCAGATTCATTTTACTTAGACAGAAACCACATGGACCTGGAATCGGACCTTAGGTACGTTTCTCTCCAACTTGTTTTGCTTAGATTTACTAGGGTTTAACCTACAGATACAATGTTTGCCTATGTCTCGTTTGCATTGCCTTAGTTCTGTTACTTGCATACACGTGATGCTCCAAACTTTGGGACGGCATATCTGGCACCTGTTTAAATTCAGTCTCTGCTCCACCACTGGCTACAAGTGTTCCTGTATGTCGTTGAGTTACCCTGCTGACCCTGTTGTGCTGCCTAATAGATCTTTGGGGCTCATACGCACCACTCATGAAAGAGTCTATTTTCTTGGCTGTATCTGTCTGCATAACGCTTTACCAGTGTGTTACTTCCCTCCAGAAAAAGCAGTCTGAGACAACTGACTTAACAATACAGAAATTCATAATTAAAATAAAGAGAAAACCCATAACTACAATTGACAAGCGTTAATCCGCTATACAAAAATATCTTTTCTGTCACAGCCAGTAGGCTGAATAATATTGTGCATGATCTCAGATGCAGGTACTTTGGCTATGTTAGGGGAAAACCCCAGCCCACTCACTCAGTTTTCAGCAAGTAGAATTAAATGCAGGAAGATGGAATTGTACTGTAGGTGCAGAAGGACGAGGGGTACTTTCTGAGGGTGCTGCTAAAACAGACCTTAAGGACTGGGTTGAGATACCAAGGAAAACAGGGTTTCAAGAGATAGGTCATAGTCTGAATTTTTCAGACATGAGAAACTGACTTGAGGCCTATTGGTTTCACTGAGTCTGAGCAATATTTACGTCTGGATCCAACCCATAATATACAGTTCTCAGTATGTTAGAAGCACAGTTCTTATATAGCTTTGTACTTGACTCAAGGGAAGTATGTTTTCAGTTTCTGGTAGGACTGGCTGAGCAATTCAAGTGGATGTTCAGGGCTGAGAGAGGAAGCATGTGCTTCTGGTAACTAAACCCAATGATAGATTAGCATTTGATTTCTTTCCCATGTTGAAGTTCATGTTGCATTAACAGGAACAATAGATTGGCCAAAATCTCTTGGATTATTACTGCTTTTGATTTCTAAACAGCTATAAAGGTCTAGTTTTAAGTAGTCTGCCTTTGCTGGATTAAATGGTACACACACATGGTGATTGTTGTTTCAGGACAGCTGGAGCTTAAAGTCTCTGTCTAACAAAAAAATAAAAAAATGGATTCATTGCAAATCTGAAACTCTGAACATGTATTGCCTACATTTTCCATCTTGATGATTTTCACGGGTGCCTAGTTGTTACAAAACAAAGCTACCATCATGCAATCTTTGAGATTTGAATCGGGCTTAAAGTCCCAGCAAAGCACATACTGATCAGTTGCCAGATGTCCAGATCTGATCTGGATTGTTGAGGTTTACTTATTTTTACCACCAATCAAATCAGATACTGCCTTCCTAGTTTGGCTCTTGTGTCCCCCCCCCCCCCCTGGGGTAAATCAAAAAGGTGTTTTTAAAGTGTGAATGAAATAGAAGCGTTTTGCTATTAGGTCTTTTTCTCCCCTGGCCCCCCATAAGCAAGCAAGCAAGCCTTTGCAGAAATATATAATTATATAATGCATGGTTGTCAGCATATATTTAGGAAAGCTTCATCTTTTTGTTGTGCGAGCGAAGGCAAAGCACCAGTGAAAAAGGAGCGAAAGAACATTTGGCACTCTGCTTGCTGTCTTTTAAAAGCAAGATCAGCTAAAATTTCATCTAATGAAATTAACACCTTTCACAGTTTCATTCTGGTTTTCATGTACACTTCAACATTTGTCTTCGTGTCAAATACTTAAGTGGAATAATGACAGGACACGTGAATCTAGTGAGCCTGGTTAAACGCCAGCGTTGGAGTTCTTACACGTTCATGTTCATGGTGATAGTATGACCATTTCAGAAATTATGGGTAGTTGTCTCTGGTGTGCTGCCTTCAGAAAGAGAAGTGACCATGGCTACGTGCCAATGCTGTGGGGATTTGGGTTTTCTGGCACATGCACATGTTGTGAATGAAGAGCACTGCAGCTCTTGCCTGCTGTGAGGGCCTCTTGGATATGTGAATCCGCCCTTGGTGTCATCTGTGCTGAAATTCCCATGTTAGCATGATCTCTGTAATCCAGACACAAATAAAACACGAGACCATCGTTTTCCAGGTATTTGGCATCATTACCTTCCCATGTCTGGAAAAATGACCATGTCAAGAAATTTTTCAGCACTTCATCTCACTCCCAGCAATTTCAGAGTTCAAGTGAGTTTAAAAATTCACTTCTCCCTCCCCCAGCTAATATACGAGTGCAAGTTCAGCCGGTCGGCACCTGTTCAAACACCACTCGATCTCCTTCTTTTTAGGTCCCGGCAACGCTCCCCTTTATAAAGGAGGTCCTACACTGGGCGCTTCTGGAAGGTGAGGCGAATTGTGCATGCCTGCACAATGTAGACCAGTTGTGAAATTTGCTCTGATCGCTTTTCCCTGTCACTTTGAAGCTTGGTTCGCAGGTTGCTACACAGGGCGCATTCAGTAGTTCCTGAAATGGCAGCGGATCTGTCATGCTGCTGCTTTGAGCAAGATTACGTGACCGAGTGAGCAGGACAGAGGACTGCCTCTGGTGCAGCATTTTCCTCAGTCGAGGCGCTGCGCGAACGATGGCTGTGAGGGATTCCCTTTGAAGTGTGATGCTGCCACCGTGAATGCCCGCTGACGAGATTTCGACGCAGTGTGCTCTGCACATGTTGTTTACTGAGAGTGCATTCCCAGAGTGCTTCAGTGGAGATAAACATTAACATTAGCAGGGTTAATGGCAAACAGCTAAAACCAGTGCCTGTATTTCTATAGAAGACGTTTGTGCTGCAGTAAGTACACAGGATGGTTAGTTCCGGCTCACCTAACCATGCCGGTGCCCCTCTATTTTCTGGTTCTTAGAGCAGCAGTTCCTTAAGTTAGCATCTCGCACAGGTGTGACCTCAGGTTGACCGGCCTTTTGCTTGCCCACAGCCGTGTCAGCACCGCAGAAGATCAAACTTGGTGGACTCTTGGGGGTGAAGTCTTTGTGTTACTTTCCTGCAGAGTGCGCAGAATTCCTGTGTGGTTTGGGGAGTGTTGCACAGAACAGTTTCTCTCGCTCTGTTCGCAGGCCCGTCTGTGGCGTGGCTGGCATCCAGTCTTCGCAGAATAGCCTCCAGCATCACGGGCAGCACCCAGCCGCCACAGCAGTAGCACTTCCCCACTGCGCTCACTCAGGCGGGGCCGGATCCACCCTTGCCTGTCGTTCCCAGTTAGAGAACTCTTCACCTCTTTTAACAACCTCCAGCCCTCAGACTCCCCAGGCCCAGGAACAAAATGGGATTTTAGACTGGCTGCGGAAACTGCGCTTGCACAAGTACTATCCAGTTTTCAAACAGCTCACGATGGAGAAGGTAGAGTGTAGGGGGATTGTGTGTTTTCTTAATTTATCCTGCAGGATCGATGCAGTGAGAATACAGACTCTGAAAGATGGTGGTTAAAACTGCTGATTATCCTGTTTCAGGTGGTAGGATTTTCTGTTGGGTAATTATATTTTTCTACCTAAGACTTAGTCGAATTCTCCCCAGAACACTTACAGCAAATGTCTTTGTCTGGTGGCTTATTTAGAAGCTGTTCTGTGCATTTTTCACACTTGACATGCACTGCAAATATTTCTCCTCAGGACATCTGCAGAGATGCAGAGTTTCACAAAGTCTTGATTTGTGTGTGTGTGTGCACAGAGACATCCATTTCTAGAAAGAAGAAACTTTCATCTCATCTGAGAAAGAGTTGGGATGCCAACACATGCTTTATTCAGATATGCCTCAAAGCTAATTACGGCATTATTGTGGTGTTAGGGTTTCTTGAACGTGGAGTGCCCTCTTGTGGATTAATTTCTGCTCCTGCTCATAAGTCATGTTTTAATCTTATCTAGAATACTTGATACGTTTGTAGACACTTGATAAAAATGTTAGTTCAGTAGCAGAATAACAACAGCATTTTTCTCTGCTCTGTTGCATATTATTATTGTTAATAAGCTTACTCTGGTGTGTGGTTTCTGTTTAAAAAGTAAGCTTCTTGTGTATGCTGATAGGTAGTTTTTGAATAATTCTAAATAAAGATCGATATTGAGATCACTCCAGCTGTTGGGTATCTTGATGGAAAAGTAAAGAAATGATCAAGGGTAGCTGTTTGAAAAAACAAGTGTTAAAAGCTGACTATACATGGAGAATAAAATATTCCTTAATCTTCAAACTGCAATGCGTTTCTACAACCTTGGGTATTGTACTCCGTCATAATCCATTAAGCGAAGGAACAACTAGCCTGCCGCCAGACACATTTTTGTCTGCGTTAGTAATCACGTAACTGACATTTCCATGTTACTTTTGTTTATGTGGTTTGGGTGGAGGGGGGACTGCTCCAACAGGCACAAGAGGGATTTAAAGAGTACAACACACCACTTGCTCAAACCAGAGATTACAGTATGCCAAACTGTAAGGTGTTCAGGCAAATCTTAAGCTGTTGCTCGTACAGTGCAACTTTGCAAGAAACGGGGGGAATAGATAAAGCCTTTAAGTAGCCCTGAATTAGATTTGTTTTTAGATTTGTGTAGAGGTATCCTTGTGTCCATTTAACTTTGCTCTCCATGTCACAGTTTCGCAATGGAGAAATGACTTATGTTTGAGAGTATGCAGCTTTTATGCATGCACATGTTGCACACTATAAAATTGTTTCTTCCTTTGTTATTTGCAAGTTTCTGAGCCTGACTGAAGAGGACCTGAATAAATTTGAATCCCTCACTATGGGAGCAAAGAAGAAACTCAAGACTCAGCTGGAGTTGGAAAAGTAGGTGTTGAAGAAAATGAAGAAACAAACTAATCTGTGAGAAACTTAAGAATGTAACCAAAACTGTGCTTAAACATCCATTCAGGTCTCCCCTTACTTGCCTTTTCCTAAGTTAAGTAGTCAACTTGTTTCAGTCCAGGCAGGTTTTGCTTTCTTATCCATGGAGATAAATACCAAAAAGTTCCGAATCTGGAGCTACTTATCTTTAAGAAACAAATTGGATCTTTCAGTTAGAAAGGAACTTGAGATGGCGATATTTTCCAGACAGTATTTGTTGTTTAAATTATGTGATTTAAATTTGTCCACTATGCACGCTGGTGCTTTTGATGATATAAATCAAGGATGAGCAAGCTGGTGTCTTCCAGGCATTTTGGGCCATGGTTTCCGTAATCTTTGACCATTGGTGATGCTGGCTGGAACCCGTGGGGGTAATTGTCTCAGAGAGCGAGAGCGCAGCTGGCTCCCTGCTCCCGGGAGAAGTGCTGGCTCCATGCCCAGGTTCGGTGTCCATGAGAATAGAAATTCTTGGGTTGGAGGCAGCATGGCCAGTGGCCCAGGGACCATGAGAACTAGCCCAGGACATCAGGAGGGCACTTGCCATCGCCTGCCTCCCCTGAGAACAGCGCTCTTCACGGGGAACCCATTTGAACTCACTGGCAGCTTCCTTATTTTCCCTTTCACCCTAGGGAGAAGTCGGAGAAGCGGACCATGAATCCAGCTTCGTCCCCGTCTGTAGGCACCGGGGTGGCCAGGGTTCCCCCTACGACGCACATTGGCCCCATCCAGAGCATCCGCGGTAACCACCCAGCAGGTAAGTGGAGTGAAAAGGCTGGACGAGTGTGCTGCGGGTTCAATTTTTGTGGCACTTGCTCAGAGTCCAGCATCTTAGCTCAGATGCAGCCATGAGCCAGGCTATCTCAAACAGTACCATCTTTTTATTCTGCATTTTCAGTCAAATGATCTGTAGGTAATTGTATAGCTCATAGAAGTGCCTCAATGCACTCTATCAAAATAGCCAAAGAGGCATCCGTGCGTCTTGATCTCTAATGCACGTTTCCTCCCCACACCCCAGAGTTGCGTGTGGATGTGGATCAGCCAGCCCCCACGACCCCCCGAGAAGGAAGCTCCTCGGAGTACTCCAGCTCCTCCTCAAGCCCCATGGGAATCCAGACCCGGGAAGAGAGCTCTGACAGTGCTGAGGAAAACGAGAGGCGTGAGGAAAAGTATATGTTTTGTTGCAGCGTTTGCAGCTTGTTCAGGTGCCTGGCTTTGCTTATATCTTTCTCTCTTACAGGTGTGGAGATCCACTTGGAACCCTCGGAGAAAGAGAAGCCGCCAATGATACTGAATCACTTCAACTCCAGCTCAGCCAGGCCCACTGCTCAGGTGTTGCCAGTGCAGAATGATGCAGGGTCTAGTCCGTCTGCGCATCACACCTTGCCGGTCCAGATGATGGCCACAGGCTCCCCGCACATCACCCCAATGAGAATACTCAATTCTATGCACAAGCCAGAGCGAGGAAACACAGACATGAAGCTCCTTTCGTCATCTATGCACTCACTTTTGTCTTTGGAAGACAGGACAAAATTCTCACCCGGGGCACCTCGAGGCAGTGCCAAGATGGAGAAGAATTTTGGAAATACTGTGGTGGATGGAATGCCAGCATCTCCCCATCAGTCTGTGCAAGTGCTCTCGGGGGTTCCCGAGAACGGCTCCACTACACCTTCCATTAGCTTCGGCCCCCGAACCAAAATGGTACACGCTTCCACCCTTGACAGAATGGTGAAAACGGCCCAGCAGCCAGGAATACTAGTGGAAACCAGCACCACCGCCACCGTAACATCCAGCACGGTTTTCCATATGGCACGTCCCCCCATCAAGCTCCTCGTCTCCTCTTCGGTTCCGACGGATTCAACCATCGTGGGTCAATCTTCGTGCTCCAATAATATGCAATTCAGCGTGTCCCCAGCAATAATCACCCCCCGGACTGCTCTCTATTCAGCCAACACCAAAGTGGCCTTTTCTGCCATGAGCAGCATGCCCGTCGCCCCGATGCCCAGCAGCAGCTTCTGCGCGAACAGCAACACTGCCTCCTCCAGCAGCCACCCGCCCACATCATTCGCGAACATGGCAAACCTGCCCAGTTGTCCCGCTCCCAGCCCGAGCCCCACGCTTTCATCGGCCACCGAGAACAATTTCTACGGCGGCGGCAGCGGCTCAGGAGGGAGCATCCCCGTACCGAGCCAGAACCACCACCACCACCACCACCACCAGCAGCAGCCCCCAGGGTGCATCGTGTGCAGCTCCTGTGGCTGTAGCGGGAACTGTGGCTCGAGCGGCATGACGGTCAGTTACGCCAACTATTTCCAGCATCCCTTTTCAGGACCCTCCATGTTTACGTTCCCGTTTATCCCTTTCAGCCCCTTGTGCAGCAACGGCTACATCAACACACAGCAGTACAACAGCAGCTCCGCGTTCCCCATGGTCCACTCGCCCTACAGCAGCGGCATCGCGCCGGACTCGGTCATGAGTGGGCAGTCCACGTTTGCTGTCCCGCCAATGCAGAATTTCATGACGGGGGCCGCGGGGGTTTATCAAGCACAGGGGATGATGAACAGCAGCAGTGGCACAGCCCATAAAAAGAGTGGGAATCTCTCCTGCTACAACTGCGGAGCCAGTGGCCACCGAGCCCAGGACTGCAAGCAGCCTCCGATGGATTTCAATCGGCAAGGTTAGCCGCTCGCTCGCTGAAGGGGGAGCTGGTGGGCTGCTCGGGACGCACACGCAGGTCAGGTCCTAACTGTTTGGGGCGAGGGAGAGCCTGCAGAGTTAATTCAGCCGCATGATCTGCCTCTCTCATCCCTTGCACACCGCCACTCCCCGGTCCCGTCACTCGAGGCCTGAGCCATGCGACTTCGGTAAAAGGCCTGAGGAACTCTGAGGAAGCGAAGGCACGGGAACAGTGGGTGGCTTCCCTGGCACAGGGCCTGCGGAGCCCAAGTGGTCCTGAGGGGTTGGGAAGGGCCCGCTTGCATGTTTCCTACTGAAGGCAGCTTTTAGCGCGTGTGGGTGGCAACAAGAAGCTTCTTCCACAAGTGCTTTCTTCCCAGTTCTTAGCAGTAAACTGACCTCTCTCCAGCCTGGGACTGCTTGCTTTAAACCAGGGCTGGGGTGGGGGGGGTGCCCCAGATCCTCCGGGACTTCAACTCCGCTCTCTATTGAATATGCTGGTTAGGACTGGGGTGAAGACAGCCTCTCCTCATCCTGCTTCTAAACTCCATAATGCACAGCTACTTACCTGTGAGAGCAAATCTGTACAACAATCTTATGCTGATGATTGGTTCTTTTTCTTTCCGCAGGTACATTTCGGTTAAAATATGCTCCACCGGCTGAAAGTTTAGATTCCACAGACTGACATTAACTTCAGACCTGGTATTTTGTGGTGGCAAAAACCATGGAGTAACTGGGATATTTCAAATTGGAACCTGAGAAGTCCACTTGTTGATCTTACTATTTTTTTAATCCAAAGGTGCTCTACTTCAACACTAGGAAGGAACTGAAGCTTAGCGGGTCTGTCAACCCCCCCTTTTTTTACTGATTTGCCAAAATTATAAGATGGATCTTAACCTTGGACCTTCCTGGTGGTAGGTGAAACTGGCCAACTTTCCTTTCTGTTGTCTACAGACTGCTGCACTTTTCCCTGAAGAATGTTGCCATACTTTGACCTTCTGTGCTGGAAACTCGAACTCCTGGGCAGCTATGTTGTAATTGGAGTGAGAGCTAGAGGTTGATGGTGTAGTAGCCCTTTGCCTGCTGGACTCTGACCTTTTGAGGCTGGGTAAACATGTCTACTTCTTCTCAAAACAAATCAGGCACTGCACTCTGGGATTTTAAAGGATTGCACTACAGAAGAACACATGATTCTGTTCTGACTATCTGCACTTTTAGCAGACTGAGACAAGTGCGAGAGACGTTCCAGCAGTGGGAAATAGGCACCAGCAGGCTATGTGAACTTCTAATAAAGAAATCTTAAGCCTCTCTCTCTTCCAAAAGAACAGAGGTGGAAGTTTCAGTTCATTCTGGAAACGGTTATGCTCTGCTTGTCAGCATTTGTTCCGAAATAGAATAACGTTACCGGCTGTGGATTAAATGTAGTTTCCAAGGGTATAGTGCCAGAGACTGAGCCCATAAACACGTCTTTAAAATTATTCTTATTCTATAACTTCTGAAGCTGTTACCATACTCTGGCTTCTGCCACAGGCAACAGTGCTCTTCCTTTTGCAATGCAATTTAAAACTCAAAAACTCCGGCAGTAGAGTTTGCAAGCTGCTGTTCCATTTTGTCTAGCAAGTCTTCCCAAAAGGGATTTTGTTATGGGAATTAGATGTCACAGCATAAAATGCAGCACTACATCTTATCACTACTCAGAAGGATTTCTAGCTTGCCTCTTTTATTTAAAATACACTCTAGTGTTGACAACTAGTTATTATACTTCTCCACAGACTTTAAAGTTAGGATGAAGCCAGAGAAGCTCATGCAACAAGCGTTGAAACAATGTGGACCTATCTTACCAAAGCATGGCAGGTTTTTTTTTAAGAAATTATTAATTCAAAATGCTGCATTGGTTGCAGGTATCTTGCTTCATTGATAGGGCTGAAGTTTGCATTGCTTCACATAACAGGTGTAGTAGATGTACACAAACTGTAACAGGAATGTGAAAAGGAGTACTGCTGGTTACAGGTATTGTCTGGGTACGTATACAAAGGGGGGAGGATTGGCAGCATCTCCCCACTGCATGCACATGACGTGACAAGTCATGTGCTGTAGAAGATCGGAATAACGGTGGGAATAACAGAAAAAGGGAGCACTCTACTCTGCTGTAACGCAGTGGTAAGCTCTGTTCTTACACTTACTATCTCCTTGAGAAACGGGCAGAAAATGGTATTCCCTTCCCTGGAGTTATCATGGCTTAGTGTAAAACTAACCTCTGATCAGGAAAGGTTTAACCTGAGGCTCATGCAGTTTCTCAACTTCATAGAAATGGACCCGAAGTTGTAAGATCTATGAGGGCCTCTAGAAGCCCACCTTGTTGCTTTTATGCAGTCAAGGACTGAACTTCCACATCCTCACTTTGGCTTCTCAGAAGTAGTATTTACATAGAGTGCAATCCAAATTACATTAGTGGAATTTTTCCCATTGAAATTGACGAGGTGGCAATGAGAAATGCGACCCATTTCTTTCAGTGGGAACTAATTCCAGCCGAAGTTGTTTGCAAGCAGCAGTCTGTAGTGCTTAAACAATGGCTCGCAGCGCCAGAACTAGTGAGGCTGCTATTGTGTAGTTACTGTTGGGAACCGTCGAAAGCGCTGCTGCAAAACCGGTGAGACCTTTACTTTGCCTTAATGACCTTGCCACATGTTACAACAACCTGCCATTCTGTACTGCATCTCTCAGTTGATGTTTACTACTAAAGCTGAGAATCTTTTCTTTGGCATGGAACGTGTGCTAAAAGCCAAATGCTTATTTTTAAACAGGAATAACTTAATCATACACATTTTCCAGGATCAGCAAAGAGCTCTTATCAGGCATCTAATTTGGAAAAATCTCCAGAAAATTGCCCTGATTATATTTGTTATGCTCAAGTGTGTACTTTTCTTTCAGGTAAGAGAAACACTTTCAGCTCACCATTCTGCTTTCAAATGAAACTGTCCTGCTCAAATTTAAGTTACAACTAACTGGAACTACCGGAGGAAAGCTTTGGGGAGCTGACTGCCTTGTTTACTCTTAAAAGAATCAATCTGAGAGTTACAAGGCAAGCTTATATTAAAACTTGATTATTTTTTCCCAAGTTGTTGACTACGTGTCATGAAGAGGCGCTTACAGCAAACCTCAAGTGGAAGAGGAAACGGGACACTTTTCTAAGACACTAACTGTCATTTTGGCTGGCACTTTGCACTAAAGGACTTGGGAGGATATGTGTCAACATGCCATGAAAGGGGGCACGTCATGCAGACCCACCAACAACTGCAGTGTAGATGGATCAAAGCAAGCATCCACTTACTACCACACTGGCACAAGACACCGAGTTGGAGAAGGAGCGTTTGCATAGGACCATGACGAGAGACCGTGAGTAGGCATGCACGAACGCAGCTCAGTGCCGAAGCAGGGGGCAGCCTTTCTGAACTCAAGAGCCCTGCTTTTCAGCCCAAAATTCTCGAAGGTGCGCCATCTCGACTCTCCTACGAGGCAAGCCCTTTCGTGAACAGGATGCGATTTCACGCTCAAAGCTCTAGTCTCTGCAGCCAACTTAGACGATGTTTTTGTCGCTAGCCATCTCGGGAACCCTCTTAAGCTGCTTGACTGGATACGGCCAAAGGCAGGAATTAAGAACGACAGTAATTCAGGAAGCTACCAACAATTTGCAGCGTTAAGTACCCTTGGGATTGCGGCTGCATCTTGCCGATGGAGGAGCAGCCTGGGTCTCAAAAGTGCAGGTTAACGTGTTTTTCAGACGTAACTTTCCACTAGGAATGAAGGAAACTTCTCTGCCCATTTCGAGCCATTTCTTTTACATATAGTATTACAAATTGTGCATGTAACTTTATATAAATATTAAAAGTTTTGTAAATATTTAATATTCACTTAATTTGATTTTGAATTGTACATGTCAAGTATTCTGGTATTGGGATTTTTATGTTTTATTATGCTTTGTTAAAGGTAATATTGTACATTTTTAGAATGTTTTTATCTGAGTAAATTTAATGTACTGAAAAAAAATTAAAAGACCACGGTAGTGTCTTTTTCAGACATCCTCACTTTAATAGGTTCTTTTATTTTCAGTTAAGAGGCAAAAGGAAAGAATCAAGCTTACAACAAGCTCTGTTGGTTCAACCAAAGGCTCACAAACATGCATTATTTCAAAACTGGGGGCTGTAGGCAGGTACCGCAAAGCTGTCCAACAGCTTGTTTTCTGCACGTTGTCCATTTACATGGCGGATCTGCAGGATTCAGAACAGCTTCACTTCAGCCCAGGACGTTATCCAGTCAGATTCCTCTGGCATGAGCTCTCTCTGGTGCTCCTGCTGCCAACATGCCTTTGCCTCAGTGTCTCACTTGGAATCAAGTATCCTTCGGAAATGGACACGGTTACGTTCCACAGTTCAAGTTGGCCGGCTTCTTCCGGAGTACAAATATCACTTTTAAAGCCACAGAAGCTCCTAATTTTGATATGGTTCTGCAACAGGAAGAGCATCTGGGCCAAGCCATCGTAGCGGGAATGCACTGACTTCTGCTCAATTCTGTCTACTGTTCTTCGCACACCATGCATTAAGACCATTTTTAAATGGGTTTCGTAATTAACCACAACTTCTAATCAATGTGGATTGGAATCCTCCATATTAGCATTTTAAAGATTTGTACAAGAATCAGTCAACAGTTTTAAAGATGGCTGTCTATCGTGAAGACCTTCAACTGAATAAAAAACTTTTTAAAACTTTAACAGTGAGGTGGAAGCTCACAATGAACATTTAAAAGGAGATACAAGCACTGGATGGATTCATGTAATGGTACAAGCTGCAGAAGATTGATGTTCTTCAAAGTGTCAAAATTTAGCAGTGCTCTTACCCTCCCCTGGAAATCAGCTTGCTATAATTAAATTCACACACATTAATATACAAGGATATATTTACTACAACAGAGAAGTGGGACACACATCTGAATATTCCTTTTGCATAGGACATACCCTGTTTACAGAAAAAAGATTTATTTCCCATATAATTGTTAGGAAACTAAGAATTTTTAAAATCTAACTGATTTGAAGACTCTTCACCTGCTTTTTGTAACTTCAGACTGTGCCCACAATGGAAAATGGAATTTCACTGCATCTGGAACTTAGGCCGAAGGAAGCCAAGACTTTCAGTAAGGATACAATGCAAAATTGTTCTTTATGCCATCCATTCCAACAGAGAACAAGGGCTTAGCAGGTAGAAAGATCAGTATGTTAAATTTTAAAAAGTGTGAGTGGTCAAGAGGCCAGCCAACCTCTACTGTGTGGCTTTTTCCGGCTGGTTACCCTCAAATCCCTGCTTTCAGAACCTTTCTTCAAGATTTCCAATGCCATCTGAAGCATGAAACAAGGCTCTCTCTTACCGAGGCTTGGGGAGGGGAACAATGCTTGGAGGTGTACAATAAAATACAACAAATTCTTGATAAGCAGAAGTTTCTTACATAACTGTTAAGTGTATATATAACCTAGTTTTAAAATACGCGCTTTCTAAAACTAGAGTAAAGCTGCAGTGTTGGAATATAATTAGCAATCTGATGTCTATCTTCTAAGGTAGCAGGATGAGGGAATTATTCACACACCCCTCCTCTCCACCACATGCACTGGCTTATCAAAACAAAGAGTTAAAGCAAGCAAACTTTTACTCCTATTTGTTCCCTTTCTGGAGAAAAAAAAAACAGTTTTTAGGGACCGAAACAAGCTTAAACAGAAGATGTCTCTCACATGTATTTCAGGTTGCTACGAATATTCAGCCCAACCGCTATGCTTGGAGTAAAGCAAACATCCCTTTTATTGGCAACTTAACACGCGCAGCATGGATTCAGTCAAATTCCAGAGGCTTTTTAAAAGCAAGTGTGCCTGTGCAGACTTCTAGCAGGTCTACAGAGCTGGGCTGCTTGTCCATACTGGCACTCATCTGTTCAATATTCACAAACAAAACAAAAGTACGATGAAAACACCTGCCAGGCAGGCCAGTAACATCCCTTTCTTTTCCTGTGGGAGGGAGGGGCAAAACCTATCCTAGGCTACAAGCCGCTGGGCCTGGTCTACACAGAGGATTTCATGCCAAATGTTTCCTGCGAGGCGTATACCATGTACAGGAATCCATCCTCGTCCTTTTCGCTGTCGTACACCTGCGAAATGGGTGAGGAGACGCTCACCATGCTGTGTCCGTTCACCAGTAAGAAGAAAGCTTGATTGGAATTCAGTTGCAGGCGGCGCCTGGAAAATAGCAAGAAGGCTTCATTACAAAACGCAGTTTCCCTGCGGAGAGGCCAAGGAGTTCACGACGCTGGTGCCTAAGAGGCGATTACCATGAAGTACCGTCTTGGGAGCTTGCAGGTTCAGTGATGAGTTTTCTCTCTCCTGACATCGAAAAATTATGCAAACACTGAAAATACACTTAATAGCACCCAGCCTTGGAAAGCAGCCTCCTTACCGACACAACACTAATGGGCAGGGACCGGCAGCTACGTTGGTCTTTAAAGGGATGAGTAGGACCCCTTTGCCTTCAGAGTGAAAGCTGCATTCCAGCATGAACAAGCTTCCGGGGGCCTGAGTGTGGCAGGTCCAGAGCCAGCTCGATGCACACGCCCCAGGAACAGATCGGCATGTGTGCATCTTACAGAATTGCTGCAAGAACGGCAGGGCTGAGGAATTGGCAAGCACTACAAGATCCCTGTTCAGACATTCTGCTGGAAAAGTTGAAGGAATCTTGCAATTTTAATTCGGACAGAAGTCTCCTGCTTCACATAAATTAGGGGTCTAGACAGGAGTCCTTACTGCATAACAGAAAGGTCAGCTACCTGATAATCTTGATCAACTCGCTCATGTTGACATGATCTGGGACCAGGAACTTTGTTTTATCCAGCACGGGAAGCTGCTTCTCTCCTTTATACCTTTCAATAATTACCTGAGCAGAAAAAATCGGAGATGCAGTGTAAAAGTTTTCATTATGCACAGGAAATCGAGAAGTAGACATTCTGATTGTACTAGCACAAAAAGAAATATATGCCTTTGAAATTCTTATTTGTACCTCAGAAGTGGAATTTTGCCATCTCTGTGCATTACCTGCAAGTCTCCTCCAATTTGCATTCTTAGCAATATTTAATGCAAAGCCTTTAAAGCATGGATCTGCATGGCTGTCTCCATCAGAATATTCTTTGTTTAAAATAATAAGGTACATGAACTGGAAAACAGTGTACGTGGCCAACAATGATCTGCTGTTATTTTACAGCATGGTATCATTCTTGTTTCCCATAAAGCAGGGGAAATGCACAGTCTGTATTCATCATTCACAAGGAGAAAGGTACTACTGAAAGAAGTTGAGGTGGTTATGTAAAACCTATTTAAAGCAGAGCTGAGAGGAGCTGCCATGAATTAGAACGGGCCAGCACTGAGCTGAATAGGAAGACCATATGACAAATGTAAAAATGGAATTGCATGTTGCTGTTGTTTTGTTCAATGTTTTTAAGCTGTGAAGAAGACAACTTCTATTGTATCAAAGCTGAACACTGACCATTTAAGCATCCTTTGGTGTTGGGTCAACCCATTTAAGTGCCTCTGCCCTTCAGCATGTAACTTATGCTTATTTTAAATTTGTTTACTAGTTCTGTTCAGTTCCTCTCGGATTAATTCTGTTTCTGCCATTCTTCCTTGCAACTTACTTTTAAATCATTTTATTGCATACTATCCCAGTTTGTCAGTTTGCTGAGAGCTGGCATAGAGGTTCTCTAAACACATTCACCCAGGGGAGCAGAGAACTCTGCGATGGAGAATGTGGCGGATTAATCCACCACCACCACCACCCTTGACACCGGCCTTGCTGTCTTAAGGGTGACCTCCCAATCCAGACTGCTTATTTCCCTCCCTCCCTTCAACTAATTTATACCAAAGGTGGCTACAACCAAGAAACCCCTGCCTCCTCCAGCAAAAAATTATGTAGATAGGAAGAGATGAATCTTTGCCAGGACAAGCTATCCTCAGCCTGTCCTGACCACTTACAAGTTCAATTTCCCATTACTCCCAAAAGTCCTTTCCTTTGTTTACTTACACGCAGATTTGCTAAAATGAGTTTCACTGTGAAACAGACAAAACAACTACAAGTTTACTCACCGGTATCTTTGTTGGATGCTGGTCTCGAATAAGTCGGACATCTTCTACTCTTTGTTCTATGGGGTGGAAGAAGAGAATGGTTCCTGAAGGCCTGGAGAGGCATTACCCAGCTGTCGTATCAAAACCACCTAGTCGGAACATGCTACTATCTGTGGGGCTTCATTGCCCTGCATTAGACAGTAGTCAAGAGTGGAAGGAGCTTAAACTACTCCACATTGCTCTACCCAAGTATAATTCAATAGCTATGACTAATAAAAAAGTTCACAAAGGTTACTAGCCTACAAAAAACATTCACCCATCTAGTAGAAGCTGGCAGAGAAAGGACAGTTCTATGCTGCAAGCAGATGGGGGGAGCTGCTCTCTTCCTAGCCAGCCCGTGTTTGCCTGCCTGTGACTACCAGGCTAGTACCTAAATGCAAGGCTGTGCCCACGTACGATGCATGGAAAACTGCTTAATGGTCTGCTTTGAAAAGGGTGCCAAAGCTCTTTTGGACTGAGGGCCAAATTCTGTTCCAGAAAAACTCTCAGAGGATGTGGTGTGTGAAGCCAAAAATGTTCTTTAAAAAGAACCACATAGCTTCAAGTCAGTAACTCAGCCTTAGGATAAGCATTTCAACTTCTCAGGATGGGGGAAAGTGCAGAAAAGCCCAGAGACCACCAAATAAGCAGCAGATCTGGAGTTGGACCCAGGCTGCCCGCTCCTGGCCTAGCACAACTTAATACCTATGCCAAATGGGATGGCATATAGAGGGAGAAATAATGCGGATATCTGAAGCTGTCATGGAAAAATAAAACCCTAATACTTTCTGTAACATAAATGCAGACAGGAAAGCCAACAGGAACCGAGCTCATTCAGAGTTTCCACTGCCATCTTGGTTAACAGAGACCGTTTCCCTCCATTCGACTTCACATAGGAGGCCTTATTCAATAGCGTGTCTGCCAAGTCTTCTCACACGAGAAGCTGAGATCAATTTTTGCATTTCCCTGTGCTGGTGATTCTAATATAGAACCTGCAATATACATTACATTTTAAATGGCTCCACTTCTTTTTTTTAAATCCTGCTTATATTTAAAATCAGCAAGCCAGCTAACATCATGCCTGCTGGACTTAGGAAGGCAGGTGCTGGACAAAATAACAAGTGTATATGCCTAGATTCAGACGTGCCTGCAAAGAAATATTTTTGAAGGCACACAGAACAGCCTATTTCCTGAAGCTAGACAGTTCCTTGGCTAGGTAAGTAAACACTTGGGAAGCTGGTGTGTCCCCACATGAGATCCACTGAAAAAGTTCTGTAGTGATTTAAGGAATTACAGTAAAAGCTTTCACACACTAGATTCCATTTCATATGTATGTCTCAATAAATGTGTTAAGTCTTTCTACTGCTAAGCAGTCAAACACAGCAGAACTCCATGGAAAAGATGTGAGACAGAAACAAAAGCAAATATCCTATGTAAAAATACAATATTAACTTTTCTGAAGCAATTTAAATATACCCGATCTTTCTTATTAAAGCCAAAGAGCTTCCATTTGGAGATGATTTTCTGACTAAGCCCATAGCACTGAAGTATCTAATACTGCTTTGTAAAGGAAAACAAACAGCAAGGGTGACCTTTACTTTCAATTTCAGCTGCAAAACAAAGCCATGATTCTTGTTTCCCTCCAGTGTGCAAGCAAGCCGGAAAACCAGTTCAGGCAGGACAAAAACAGCAGTAAAAACATGACCAACATCTTCCTGTATTGTAAAGAGCGACGCTGAACAGGAAAGAGAATCTTGCATCTAGACTTGACTTAGAGCCTGTTACATGAGGCTTTTTGGATCACATTAGGCAGCTAAACTTGGAGGACTTGCTAGAAGATAAACCATTTCGCATGTCTTTGCAATAACAATCACTTTTCTCTCCCTTTAGGGCAAAGAGGTACAGGAACAACTGCCCAATGTTTCCATGAACTCTTCCTCCTCGGGTCCGGAAGAGGTCACCCTCCGAAGCATGTTTTAGTCATCAGCAGAATTAGGAAAATTGTGGCCCAATGATTCAACATTATCCTCTGCCTCCTCGCAACAACAACCTGACACAGCAGTCATCCGAGTTTAAGAACGGCTTGGCTCAAACTTAACGATTGGACTACAAGTGCTGGCAGTACCCAGGAAAAACCTTTTAATAGAAGGGGACCCTAGAGGAGGCTCGGTATGAAACTGCCACCCCTCCCCACACACAAAACAATCGAGATGACAAGACAACACAAGCATCACAAGTGCAGCAAAATCAAGACATCCAGAGCCCATCTTTACTGGCTTGACAACAGATAAGCAAACGAGAAGGCCCCATAAGTGCTATAAAAAGGGGGCATGGAGAGAAGTGAAAGATGGGCACGCTGCCAGCCACAAGGAAGAGATCGACTCCAAGGCCTGTTTCTTCCTCCTTCGCCTCTCGGAAGAACGCAAAAGCGGCAGACACAAAAACAGGCTAGCCGTTCTCACCCCCCCACGTAGCCACCCCTTGCCTGCTGGCCTCCATCCCTCAGCTTCGAAGAAAAATGCCACCTCACTTCATCCGCCCAAGAGGCAAGACTAGAGAACACAAATTAGGAGAGAGAGAACTTTATTTTTTCCTTGAAGCTTCTAACCGCCCCCCCCGCAAAACTCAGGTGCTGACTTGACAGCAGTGCAACCACACACCCTGCACTTTCCCTCATTGCATAATAAAAGGAAGCCCCACACTGAAGTCAGAGAGAAGGCGGCTCATCCTCCTAGCAACGGGGCTGCGGGTCGAGGGTGGGGGGCGTCTGTCCCCCCCCCCCCCGAGCCTCAGCCTGCCTTTCCCCTGGGCAGAAAGGGGACCGGCAGGCTGAGGCTCTCTGTACTCAGTCGCATGCATCCTGCACAGCTCCCCCCTTCGGGGACTCTGCCCCACCCCGCCCCCTTCGGCCACAGCAAAGGAGCCAATTCCCCTCCCCACAAAGCCCCCCAAGCCCCATCTTCCAGAGGCTCTTCCTTGGCCCTCCCTTCACACGGATCGTCAGCACGGCCCTAGCCCCCCTTCCCGCTGAGGCGCCCCTCCGGGCTGCCGTCCATGCCTAACACCCCCTTCCCCCTCAACCCCGACGCCCCCCGGGGCCTTGGCCTACAACCGGGGATGCTGGGAGTGGTAGTCCATGGCCCCGGGGGGGGGGCGCCAGGCTGGAGGAAGGGCAGCCGCCCACCTCCCCTCCCGGGGGCCCCGCATCGGGGCTGCCTCCCTCACCGAGGGTGCGCCGCTGCTTGAAGCTCTTCTCCGAGGGCATCTCGACGGCGACGGCGACGGCTCCTTCCGCGACTCCCTCCGCTCAGCGTCGCGGAGCATCCACAACAACCTCCGTCCGCGGTCAGCTGACCCACGTCGCCCCGCCTCTCTCGAGCGTCTTGCGTCACGCGGGAGGCGGGCAAGGGCCGGGCAGGTCATTCGCCGTCGCCCCTTCCGCTCCTCCCCGCGGCCGCCTCGCCGCGCGATACTGCGCGTGCGCCAGGACGGGATTCCCCACAGCCCCCGCGGAAAGCGGAGGAGGAAGGCGGGGTCGTCGCTGTCCCTGACGCAAGCGCGCCTGCGCAGACAAGGCGGGAGGTGCGAGCGTGGAGGCGTCGAGCGAGTGACCTCAGCGCGCACAAGCGCGCGCGCGGCCGCCCTCCCGGCGCCCTTGGTTGCCCTGGTAACTCTCCAAGGAGGGTGGGTGGCCGGGCCTGCTGCTGGGCCTCGCCGCGGCCTGGGCGCGGGGCGGAGGGAGGCGCCCGCCGCTAGCGCCCTCGCGGACTCAGGCGTGGATACGAAGGCGCTTTGAGGCTCACCGCCGCTAGTCCTTCAGGTTTAAAAAGCTCAGAAGGTGGTCTTCATCAAGCATAACACGGAAGAGGGAGCATCTTCTGAGCATGTGCGGAGTGCTTTCCTCCCCCGCCTCCCGGATCCAGTGCGGGTAACTCGCCTCCCATCACCTCCCATTAAGGGGGATAAGTTTACAAGATGCAAACCGATAAGTCCCTGCCTCACTATTTGAAGGGGTGGGGAGGCCTTCTGCTGAAGTGAGGTTTCTGCAAACAAAAACGCTATTCCTCTGAGTATGAACAGAGTATCTTCCCCGGATTAAACACAGGTGGCCTACGTCCACGGACTGCCTGTTAAAGAAACCAAATTAACTCCAAAAGAGCTGGACAATGATGAAGACACAGTGTCAGGGATTGCTAATTACACCCTCCTGGTTTCTCAGAAGTATATGGCTAGTGAATCTGTGTTGGACTCAAACACACAAGGAAGGCTACAAGCGCATACAGTAGAACTTCTAAATAAATGAAAGAACATTGTGGTGTGTTGGGTGCTACAACCTTGTCCAGGACACCTGCACCGCAATCATACATGTCTTGGTAAGCTTGATGGGGCTTATTCCTAGGTGTGGCTTCAGCCTCCAGGTGACTCCCTGCATGCTGTCTGGGGCATACTGGGAACCAGAGGCTGTTTTTCTGCCTAAACTTGTGTGGGGTTGTATCCTTAATTTCCTAGTCCTGCCGCATCAGAGAAGCTCTTTCGCCTCCAGCATCTTCCTTCCCATGGAAAACTCACAGGATAAGAAGGCAGTTACCTTCTCCCACCATTGCCTTCAGCAACTGGTGTTCAGAGGCAGCTTGCGGAGGGTACACATTGATCTCTAGGGGTTGCATTCAGAAATGGCTTTAAAGAGGGATTCAATACATCTAAGCTGATGTCCATCACACACCACACTTAATTACTGTGCAACTAAATGCCACAGTTTAAATTCGCAGTGTGTGAGAAAATAACACATTGTCTGCCCAAGCCATCGGTTTAGTGGTGGTGGCTTCTGGGGTTCAAACTCTCTCCAGATTTCCCAGTGGAGGATATTTCTCGGCCAGGCAGCACTAGGAGGTTCATCCCATTTGTCTTTTCTACCTTGTCTGGATTTCTGCAGCAACAGAAAATCGGATAGGCACATTGCAATACTGGGAAGCCTGACTCATCGGTTCATTTAGGATCCTCTCTGCAGTAACAGGAGTGTCTCTGGAGAAACGTAGCTGCTTTCCTCTCCGCCACGCACCAGATGCCGCCTGCCAAACCCAAAGGATATGTGGTCTGGCCAGTGGGAGCCCATGGGAGGAAGCCCGCCAGACTTTGACACAAGCATCCACTCCCAAAGGGTCGAGCATGGTTTCAGTGTGGGTTGTTGAGCCATGCATTTCTGTTGAAACATGGGTTATCATGTTTCTGAACCCAGCTTGAATATAGGCTGAGTGTGGGGTGTGGCTGAAACATGCGTTTCCGTACTTCCCAATGCTAAGCTACAGCCCTTAAGGGCCATCAAGAGGGCCAGCCTTGTCTGTGTAGGTCTTCCTTCTTGAGTAACTTGGCCATACTGATCTTCTCGGTTACAGTTCTATTGTTTAAGCAAACCCTTCCCCTAGGGAAGCAGACCCTTTAAGAATAAGCCCCAGGGAAACCTTAACTGTTCAGGCTCTGACAGATGGCAGTCTCTCCATGCCAGGGGTCTGTTCAGTCTAGTGTGACTGCCAGAGGAGAGCAAGCATATGGTGTTTGTCCCAGCCTTGCTCCACCCTATTCCCAGTTATTGTTGCTTTTCTTTCCTAAACCACTTCTCTTCTTTATTGTTATCAATTTCAGATATTAGCCTATTGAAGAGAAAATGACAAAGAGCCCTGTGGCACCTTAACAAATCTTATTTATTCTGGAATAAACACCCAAGGAATATAGTTATCAAAAGCATGGAGGAGTCTTAAGAGTTTCAGGTTCAGACAAGTTTGGTGGAGCAGGGTGTGGGGAAGGAATTTAAAACAGAGAGTATTGACAATGGCAATGACAGCATTAACCAAGGACATTCACAAGCAGGTGCTGCTGAGAACACAAGCACCCGGGCACTCGGTGGTCCAGTCAATACGTGTGGTGTGGTTAGGAATCCTGTATTCTGATTCAGGCTTCAGGTAATAGGACTGAACCGGCTGAGCCCTCTTTTGCTCTCATCTCCCATCCTAAGGTGGTCCTTGGGGAGCAAAAAACCTTGGAAGGGCAATTCACTGTGCTTGAGAATTTCCACAGGGGTAGCCCTCTTAGTTTGCGGGAGGGGGACTACAGGCACAGTTTTATGTGGGTCCTACAAGCTGGGAAATGCTGGGAGCTATAGGACTTCTCTTTGTCTAAATGTACAGCAGATTACGCACTAAATTTCTTGCTGTTGGGTGATAACAGACATAACTGAAAAGGAGAACTGATTAATGCGTGTGTTTGTCTCTGTGTGTGATTTAAAAAAACACATCATTATTCATAGCACAAGGTCCTGTAATTTGAATGAAGACAAAAGGGGTTTTTAATTATTACTGCAATCATGTCTGTGTTATCACCCAGCTATTTTTTGAATGGTCCCTGCTAAAGAAAGTATCCATGCTTGTATTCCCTGTATTTCCATTTGGCTTGACAACAGAGTTTACATCCACCCATGTCCCACTCCCGGCATGTGTATATAGGTCCACCAATTTGCGGCGAACATTTGGTGTATCTGGTGGCATGTACAGCTTCCGTGAGCGCTTGTGCCAAAACACATCGGTTAGTTTTTTAGGTGCCACAACACTCTTTGTTGCCATTGGCATATTTCTGTCATTGCATTTATGACTAAGAAGGAAGCATCCTTTCCACTGTCGGATGGTGCGTGATGATCATATTCAGCAATGGCAAATGAGCAGGCATTTAATGACCGATGAGCCAGAGCCAAGTATTTCCTGTGAGTGCATCAGCACAGAAATATTGCGATATTACGAGTGTGACATCCTTGCGTTATAATGTGGTCGATCACTTATTTCATCATGAGCAGAACTTATTTTTCCCCCTGGTCACATGGCTCTCCTTGGCCGATGGCTAGCTGGAAGGAGCAGCCTGCCAAGAAAAAAAGAAACGTTAGAAGACAGGTAGCCCTGCCACTGATGTTGACTTTAGACCAATTTTCAGAAAGCATGCAGCTGAAACTGAACAAAGGCAATCTGCAAAGCTACCCTGGAACTTAACCCCCGCCCCCAGAAAAGGTCTTAATTGCATCTCTCTGACAACAGATTAGTGGCTGGAAAGTTTCAAATTTCTTGGAATGTACTGTTGATGGGCTTCCAGAGGCATCTGCTTTACTTCTGGGGAACAGGTAACAATACTGGACCAGATAATCTTTGGTCTTGCATCTGGCACACTGGACAGTAAGATGTCCTGGACTAGCCCTGGCTACATAAGAAGAGCCATGCCCTTCTTTTTCATCCTATTTTCATCTTGCGGCAGCCACTTCTGCAGTAGGCACTGGGTACAGAAGTCCCTTCATTTCCCAGTGGCTTTCCACCCTCACCGTTCAGATTCATGAGGGCTCTGGTCTTAAGGGGCGTTACTGCCGTTCTCTTCTTCCTCCATGTCATGCCTCATTTTATATAATTGTAACAGTTCTGGCTATGCTTGCCCTTTTTTCTAAGCTGAACGGTTTTGCTAGCTTTTGTTATAGGGAAGTTGTCCCAGCCCTTTTCTGCATTCTTCTCAACTCTGCAATATTTTGTTGCTGGGTGTTGACCAGAACATCAGAATATACCAAACTGGTAAAGGGCTTTGCATGAACTGACCGGCCATTTCATTCACAGTTCTTCATTTGGTCATAAAAAGACAATACAGGTAATATTTCGCCAGAAATAGCCACAATTCAGAATAAATACACCTGAGGAAACCTCTGTATGATGTTGACTCTTTCCTGGTGGACTCCTTTATATGCTTTGAGAAACTGAGCACCCACTTCAGGCTGAGAACTTCTGCCCCGCTTCCAGCTTGTTTGTATGAGGCAATCTCTGGGCCTTAACGCTGGCTGCGGAAGCAGTCCCAGTTTGCAGATGGGCAGCTGTCCCTCATGAGGGGAGAAAGGGATGATGGCTGTCTCCCATGTAGTAAATCTTTAATGCTTATCGATTTTTTAAAATGCGTTCAGTCAGAACAGTGGTGACTCACAGGGTCATGGATTCCTGGCTCGCAGCCCTGTGCCGTATCCTCTCACCGTGCCGGCCGTTGTGCAGCGCAGTTCTGCATGTGCTCAGGTAAGCCCCACTGAGTTTGGTGGGACTTACTCCCAGGTGTGTGAGCAAAGGCTTGCAGCAGGAGGTATTTCTGAGGCTGCAGTGCTCCGCGCACTGTGCAGCCCGCAGATGTGCCCTCTGACGTATGTCTCGGTGAATTCAGTGAAGCACACCCCCAAGACAGTGGTTATGGGACTGCAGGCTCAGTCAAGATAAGCCTCCTTGGAGTTTCCTTTGAGTAAACATGAATAGGGTTAGACTGCAGGCTATTTCCGTTTATACACTGTATGCTTCTAGTCGTGCATTTAAACTGGTTGCATAGCTATCCCGTGTAAATGTTAATTCTGTGATTTATCGCTATTTATTCGTTTTATGATGAGTACTGCATTTTATGGCTTTTATGAAAGTCTTCAGTGAGAACTAGTGAATCGTGTGTCCTATAAAGTACACTACACAAATAGCTAAATGCATAAGCAACGTTTGCTAGTTGACTCCTGCGACTGGATACTCGGGATGCAAATTCAGGCAGAACGAAAAAAGGCCCACAAGTTCCGGCATGCCCCGTCCGGGATAAACAGTCCTTTTCTGCCTCTCTTTCTTGTTTAAACTTGCCGGGCACGGTGCCTTATTTACTTATCCTAGGATAATATTTAGACCAGATGGTATTTTTGTATTTAACCCTTTCGAAAGTGCATTCAACCCTTTCGATTTCTGCTGAGTTTGTCTAAATGTTTCCACACGCTGTGATGCATTCCGTTTTCCCAAGCGAGTCTTCCCGCTTCAGGAACCTGATCCGATTTCATTGCGTCTTTCGTGCCCGCCTAGAAGTGAATGTCTGAAAATGCTTGCAAAGACCTCGTCCACGGTCGGCATTCTGTGCAAAGAAGCCTTTTACCTGTGCGCACTTCCGCTCCGTGCGGAAAAGACGATCAGACCCGGGCCCCTCGCCTTACTCCCTGCCATGGCTCTTCCCGAGGGTTTTCGGGCGGCCCCCAGCGCGGCGAGGCTAGCGCGGGAGCTGCTCGTTTCCCGGGCGGAGCTGCGGGGGCCGCCGCGTTTCGCCCCTTCCCTACCGGGGGGCCCGCGCGAAAGCGGGGCGGGCAGGGCCAGCCCCTCGCGCGGCTCGCGGAGGACCCAGGCCGCCGTTTCGGCGGATGGATACCAAGGGCGGCCCGCGCGGGGCTTCGCGCAGCAGCCTCGTTGGCGCAGTTGGCAGCGCGTCAGTCTCATAATCTGAAGGTCGTGAGTTCGAGCCTCACACGGGGCACGCCTCGCTTTTTCTTCCCTGGCCGGGGCGCGCCGCGCCTTCCCCTCTGCCGCCCGGGGAGGGCTGCGGCGAGGGGCCTTGCGAAGCAGAGAAGCGCGCCGTACGGTGCGCACTCGCTGTGTGCCCTGCACAGTTTTCCCTCCTTTTCGCGTGGGCGAGTGCAGAGGAGGAATTGCATCCCATGTAGGATTGCGGGTACCTCAAAAACACCCGGGGGTGGGGGGAGGCTGGCATCAAGCGCGGGGCCGTAAATATCGCCTACAGGTCCAAAATTTAAAAAGCACATATTTGCCTATGCTAATTTACACGTCCCCTAAAGTCTCCCTATGTATGTTTCAAAGAACCCTGTCTCCTAGGGGCAGCTTTGTTTGGGGAAAAAATGGAGGCATGGACCGGGAGAGGATGCGTTTCATTTCGGGGGGGGGGGGGGCGGACCCTTGGGCAAGAGGATTCAAGGACTCAGGGCCAGCAGAAGGTGAGACATGTGGGCAAAAAGCCAGCTAAAGGGGGGAGGGATCAGGTGCAGGGATCCTCAGGGCCCCTGGACTTTCCTGCAGCAAGTGTCCCCGGGCAGCAGGGTGTCGGACGGGGGCTCCGTGTCCCGCACTGCCTCTGGCTGGCACGGATTCACGTGGCTCCACGCAGAAGTAACAATCCGTGATGCAAAGACAAACCGGACCGAGTCTGTCCACGTTCTGGTTGCAAAAGCTTTACGTTCCCCGGGATAGATTTTAATTCCTCCCCATCTGGCTAAGTTAGCACTTCTGGTATAGTATTCAGTTAGCATTTAATGCTTCGTGCTGCTTGTTTTTATTTGTACGAATGTTCCAGAAATGGCTTAGATTCAGTCTGGATCTGGCACCCTTATATTCCATTTGGGATTTCTGTATTTGCTTGTGCAAGTCTATTCGAGACTGTGCCTGCGGTGGAAAGGGAAGCATGCGCTTGTAGCACTAACGACACTTTTGATGTTTTCAGCCCTGACGCGCACTAGCACTGAGTCAGTAAAGAAAAGTTATCATGATCCCGAGAAGATTATTTGCATTGTCGGTCGGCTGCGGCTGACCCCCCCTCCGCGCCGAGCCGAGCCGAGCCGAGCCATCCTGCGATTTTTCACTCTCCCTCGGGTCGGGCAGAAAACCTCATTGCTAAATACAGGACTAGCTGCATGATTGAGCAACATGGAAGGCGGGGTTATATAAGGCCAAGGGGCGGAGCTCCATAAAGCCGAGGGGGCGGGCTTTTCTTTGTGTGGGCGCGGCCTGCGCCTTCCCTTTCAAGCCCCCAAGCCGCGGGGCGTGGCCGCGGGAGAAGGAGGAGCGGGATGTGGCCCAATAGCGCCTCGCGGGGCGGGGCTGATTTGACAGCTTGCAAGGTGAAGGAGGGGCGGGGGCGAGGAGGGAGAAGGACGGTTCGGTGGGGTCTGGCCGAGGGGGAGGCGGCCGCGATTGGCGCAAGCCCGCGCCCAATAGGCTGGCGGGGCCCCGGGTGCGCGGCCGCCGGTTGGCGGGGCGCGGCA